GCAGATATTGGATTCGGACGCATTTACACAGAAAAGTAATTGATATCCAAAACGATGACACTGGATTGCACGGGAGCATCGCACATCATTTCATAGTTTTCTGAGAATGTCGACCTCTGATTTTGATGAGCTAATTATATTTATTGGCAGGAAAGCTGAAAAGCTAAGACAAACTTTAGAGATTATATTTCTTTTAAAGATCGATTAGCAGTAACACCAACGGTCCTTACTATTATAAAGTTATTTTTCTATTTATACTAAGTGACATATAAATCCGAACACCCAGTTTAAATAGTTTTACTTTAATAAAATTTTGTATAAGTACTTAATGAAGCATAACAATTAAATGATAAAAATTTCAAAATAATTGCACTGCTTTAAAGCCATTTGACCTTTAATAATATGTGGATGCACCCTGATGTGCTACGCATTCTCCAACGCGCCTAGGCATGCTTCTGATCAGGTGGACAATGTCCTCCTGTGGTATCTCATTCCAGGCAACCACCAACTCCTCTCGAAGTGCTTCTAGAGTCTGAGGAGGACGTTGCAAATTGAGCAATCTCCTACCCATCATATCCCACACGTGCTCAATTGGGGATAAGTCGGGAGATCTTGGTGGCCATGGTAACAATGTGACATCATTATGTTGAAAGAAGTCTATTGTGACTCTTGCAACATGTGGTCGGGCATTATCTTGTTGGAAAGTTGGATCTGCCAGGGTGTCAAGATAGGGTAAAAGATGGGGTTCTAGAACTTCGTGGATATAACGCTGCGCGTTCATGTTACCTCTGATGAAGATTAAAGGTGACCTGGAACCATAAGCTATAGCATCCCAAACCATAACTCCAACAGTGTGATGAACATGTCTTTCAACAAAAAACTTTGGATTGCTCCTTTCACCACGTCGCCTTCTAACCCTGGCACGACCATCGTGCATGCCTAAACAAAATCGAGACTCGTCACTAAAGACAATACTATTTCATTCCTGATCCCAGAGTGACCGTTGTCTGCACCACTCAAGGCGATTACGTCGGTGTTCTCGAGTTAAAGGAAGGACCCAGTGTGGCCGGTATCAAAAAAAGCCAAAACTTCTCATTCGTCGGTAAACACTTCGCATGCCAATAGGTCTTCCGTGTTCTGCAAACCATTCATTTGCAATGGACCTGGTAGTGGAGAAACGGTCCCTTAAGGCCAATAATCTTAGGCGGCGATCTTCACGGTCTGTTGTTCTACGGCGGCGTCCAGTGCCCCTTGCTCTTTGCGTACGGCCTTCTCGAAGCCATCCCTGATAACACCTAACCACAGTGTCTACAATTCTTTGCACTCTAACTGCAATTGCCCGGAAAGAAAGTCCAGCTTCCCGAAGTCCCACTATACGGCCCCTATCAAACTCACTAAGTTGACGAAATCGTACAGGTCTCCGTACTCTAGGCATCGTAACCGATCGTAAAGGATGTCAAGAACCAAAATCCGCCAACGTTGATTCTTTACTGCGGCTGAAATATTCATTTTTAGAGCGTTAGTGAATTAAAAAAAAGCAGTATAAAAACCGGAATGTCCAACTGATAAGGGTGAAAATTTTTTCACTTGTTATTTACAGTAAGATAAATATATTCACCAACTTTTATTAAAATAAAACCATTTAAACTGGGTGTTCGGATTTATATGTCACTTAGTATAATTTACTTATTTACTAATTTGGTACAAAATTCTTTATCAGGCTAGCAAGGCCTAAGGCAATTAGAAAACACAACACGACCGTTTGCACTAAACAGACTGGAGTTTCAGTTTTGATGCCTCCGCATCCTAATACCTACAGATTTGTTTTTTTTTGTGTATTGTTTGTTTTGTCCGTTTAGTGGAAAACCGCCATTCGCAATCCCTCGGAACTCCTCACGTCCATATCTAAGCGATAGCCAGCCATACACGCGAGTATATTTAACATATTTGTCTACACCGTTACTTCCGTCGGTTTAAGTGTCTGTTCAAAAAGGGATGGAACTTTTCAAATTTTGTGACGTAGCTATTGTAGCTTCGTGCGTTTTTACCGATTGTTAATATCTCACATCTTTCCTGTGTTGTTGTTTTATCAGTGCAACGTGTTCAGCGTTCGTGGCGATTTTTATAATGTGCGACTTGCGGGAGCAGCGATACAATGTCAAGTTTTGCGGAAGGCTGAAATTAACATTTACCTGAACATTTGAACTTCTGGCTCAAATTAGTCGACAATGTTACGAATGGTTTTGCCGATTCAAAAGTGATCGTCGATCAGTTGAAGCTGACCCGAAAAAATGACACACACATTCAGAATATTTCTGATTTGGCGCGTGCCAATCGTTGAGTAACTCTCGGAATTCTTGCAGAAGAAGTTGAGATCTGATTATGGTGATGTCACAATAATAATAATAATAAATTAATCATCCTGTGGATCACAAAGTGATATAGGATAAGTCAATTGAATATTAGTATAAACAGAATTGCCTACATACGTAAATGACATTCAAAACATCAAATAAAAACACGAGGTGTATAAACATGAAAACGAATTAAAAGAACAAATAAACATTGAATAATACATTAAAACAATTAAAAAAGACTATCACTCATTAAAAACTCTTCTATAGAGTAGAAAGCTTTATTAAGTAAAATGTGCATGATTTTTTTTTAAACAATGTCAGCGGTAATGATTTACAATCAATGGGTAGTTTGTTGAAGAGTTTTATTGCCATGTATTTGGCACTCTCCTCCGATCTAGACAACCTATGTGCCGGCACCTCCCATACTTCTCTGTTTCTGGTATTATAAATTCCAGAATTTATGGAACTTATTGTCCGGGTGAGTTTTGACGTAAATCAATATATTCAATATATATACTGAAGGCAGCGTTAATATCTTCAAAGCTGTGAAGAGTTCCCTGCAACTGAAGCGCCTTCCCACCTTTGCAATAGTTCTAATAGCTCTTTTTTGTAATATAAGAAGCCTTTATAATTTGGAGGATGCTCCCCACGCTTCTATTCCATAAGTCAGAGTAGAATGGATATGTGCATGGTAAAACATAAACAATATCCACTTATCAACGATAAAACTCAGCTGGTACATGCAATAGCAAATGGGGGTAACCTTTTGACTAACTTTCTCTATATGCGTATCCCATTTGCAGTTTTGCGATATGTGTATTCCTAAAAATTGTATAGTTTCTGCTTGTTCCATGGATCTACCGCTTGATTTTATAAGGAGACTACGATTGATGTGCATATTAGAGTATTTAAATCTCAGGAACACTGTATGACCAGGCCGTTATTAATGAACCATTGCGCTGCACCAGCTAAGCTTTTGTTGACATTTCGTATCACTGACTCCAGGTTTTTGCTATTAATAAGTGATGAGGTATCATCAGCACACATTACTGAGGATTTGGAGGGAAAGTCATTCACATATATTGTGTATAGGAGGAGGCCAAGTATGGAACCCTGTGGAACCCCTGTATGATATAGGTGCTGGTCACACTGTGCAGTCAGTACTTCAACATAATGTTTTCTGTTGCTTAGATAACTGTGGAACCAGTCAAATGGCTTACCTCTGATTCCATATCTATCCAATTTATCCAAAAGTGACCTAGGAGAGCTGAAAATTTGTTGCTGTTGGATTTATTCTACAGGTTTTGGTACTGGTAGGAAATCTGAGGTGACTGATCATCTTTTTGATAGTTTATAGTTAATAATTGAGCAAGGTGATCACTAACATGATTGTTTACTACAGCAGTATCACACTTTACATCCACCCCTACACAAATATTGTCTATGCAATTAGATCCTCGCGTAGGTTGTTTGGTAACAGGCTTCAGTGAATATAAGCTTAACCAACAGACAATTTAAATCTAAAGAGTTTTTGTTAAAATTTATGTTAAAATCACCACAAGGACAATACCACATTTTTACATTTAATGTTTAAAACATTTAAAAGGTCTCCAAGTTTTTCTAAAAAAAATTTTAAAATCGGCATCAGGACTTCTATACAGAGAAACAATAACCGAATTGACGTTTTTGGTTATAACTTGAATTCCACTAATTTCGAAATGCTTATCAACTGAAATATCATTCAAATAGTCTAGATTATTGTATTCTAGTCCTGCTTTGAGGTATATATATGTCCCGCCATGATGAAAAAGCTTTCTACAGCATGAAGTTGCTAAGATGTACTCGTGTATATATATATATAAAGACATAATCTGGTCAGAATTTGCTCAGTGCTCGTAAACACAAAATATATCACAGTTAGTTTCATTTAGAAACACTTCAAGCTCAAGTAGTTTGTTACTAAGGCATTACATATTTTGATGAATTATTTTTAAACTATTTGAGTTATTTCCATTAGAAAAACAACCATTTGCATTGAATTGTTCACTACATTGATTATTTGGCGCTCTATCAAAGAAAAAGCTTGCACTTTGATGAGGGGGTTGTATCAATTACTCTCAATACCATATTTGTGTGATTAGTGTACTTCATAAATTCATTTGCTACCATTTTGAGTACTGCTATCGGGTTAGACACGTTAGTCTTAAATTTGAGTGATATATTGGTATTTTTTATTTATGAATCTGGCTACTGCTCTACTTAAGTAGTTTTCTACCCTAAAATCCTCAAAATGACTGTGATGCGTCATGATAAATGAATTAGTCAGCTTACTTAGTGGAAGCCAATCTCTCAAAGCAAAATTTAATTGCATAAAGTTGGATATATGCATAGAGCTCACCATAACAATAATAAGGTCATGTTTACCATACTGTTGCGAGTAGTGGAACAATGACTTAGCTAACTCCGAAAACTCTAAGCCAGGCTTTACTACACCTTCTATAATTATGTCTCGATTGGATAAGATTGAATGCATCACTATGGAACCACTTTTCGCAAACTCATCACCGATAATTAGTACTTTGCATGTCTTATATGCTTTATGGATTTCACTAACTTGCACAGACAAAACTTTACTGGCATTAACTAAGCTTGTATTTTCTGTAACTGCTTCAAGTAGAATTGGATCCCGTTCGACCAAACTGTTGTCAGGCATCCGTCATCATTATTTGAAACTTCTGTTGAGTTTTGTTCTGCAACATGTTTTTCTCCGCTCGTTTGTCCCTTTTGTTTTAGGGTTACGTTATCAACATCCAAGGCACTTTCAATATTCAACGTTTTTCCATCTATTCCTTGATTAAGTTCCATTATTTTATTCTTCAATTGCTCAATTTGTTCAATTTGTCTGCTGATTTCTTGATTCAATTCTCCGTTTCTCTTCTTTACATCTGCTACTTTATCCTCCATGAGTTTTATACCAGCTTCAGTTATATCGGTTTGCGTCTGTGTATGAAACAGTTGTGAGTTCACTGATAAATTATCGAGAGTTTTTTGTAAAGTACTTATTATTTTTATTGGATAACTTAAGTTGAAGCTCTTTAATTTCTTCAAAACGTATTTGCGTTTTTCTCCATTATGTCTTCGTTTATGGCCTGCTGCTGTGCGTGTTTATTTCTTAGGTTATCAATAATATTACTAGACAGATCCTGATTATTATCAAAATCATAGTCACATTTTATACTTATATAACTCGTATTAGCAGAATTGAGAAGTTGATGGTGTTTTCGTTGGTCTATTCACCTTTAAGTTGCGAACATTGAATCTTGTGAGAACCTTAGACATTGTGCTAGCTATTATTGCTTGTTTGCTTTGATCCCCACCCTTATACTGATATACGTCAAGTAAACATAATTTGAAGAAGATCCGATTATGTTACACCACTGGGTCAAAGGAATGTGGTGACTTACTCGATTTGCTATGTTTACGATTGTCCCATTCAACACTCGCACTATTAAATTCACACAGACTATCACAATTTTATCAAAAATTTCGGATCAAATATAAAGGCATTCCAACTCAGTACTCAGTGTATATGCCTGATATACACCTCAGAGATGTATATCAGACCAAGAAACTGAATATGCATCGGTTAGCAGCTGCTACGCAGAATAGCCGTGATTAAACCGCTTAGCTCACATTCGGACAACCTGAAGATGAGCGGTTTAATCACAGATGGTCAGACATGAGTTAATATTTCTGGCAGCGTGTGGCTGTGCGAGCTTGAGTGAACTCAATGGCGCAGACCGTCTGTTATACGGTGATATCGATTTGTTTTTCGTTTGACGGCCGAATTGCAGAAACGGTTAGAGTTGTGAATTCGTTTTGTAATTGTACGTGTTGCCTAAACGTCATGAGGCTTCAGTTATCAATGTTTGGCTCTGATCCGATGTAAAATCTGCTTCAGAGATGCTATTGCTGGAGTTAACGGCAATGCGTAGTTGCATAGTGAGCATTTGTGTGCTAATAATATGTGTTGGCGATACTTCCATTAGATTACTGTCTTAAATACACTTACATGAGATTCAAAGAGAAAAATTAGTTGCGCATCCACTTTTTCGTATCCATTCTGGAAGTTACATAGGCAAATTTGGTGAATTTCAAAAATGAGAGAAATAAGAAATAATTATATCCTCGGTACACTGTCGAGTTACAAGTCATATATCAGGTAACCAAATAAGGCTGTGCGGTTGCTGCATATCGCACATTGCCATGGATGTTGTTGATCGATAGCGATTGTTTGTTACCTGTTGTCACTTTAGTATGACTCCTTCTTTTCTCACACACATTAAAAGTTTCTAAAAATTGTTACATACCTAGCTTTAATAATTGAAAATGGCGACGAATAGCATAGTAATTCGAAGTTGTTTACTGTATGAGTACAAACTTGGTATAAAAGCTGCAGCGGCGGCGCGAAAAATATGTACCGCATTCGGGAGATCTCAGTTTGAGCGATGAACCGCGCTCAGGGAGATCAAAAGTCATGAACGAGGATCTTCGACAGGTTGTGGACGCAAATGCCAGGGCAACGTGCCAAGAACTTGCAGAAATGTTCAGAGTGAGTCGTGAAACTATTCGCTTGCATCTTAATCAGCTAGGAAAGACGTGGAAGTTAAGCAAATGGATCCCACATGGACTGACAAATGATAACAAATTAAGTCGCCTTACCATTTGTTCAGCAAACAGTTCACGCAACTCTAATGAACCAATCAGGTTATTAACCTGCGACAAAAAATAGATCTTGTATTCGAATTCTAAGCATTCGTTTCATTGGTTGTCGCCTACTGATTCGGTACCACACACGCCCAAGGCTTCCTTGCACCCAGGCAAGGTTTTGTTGTGTGTTTGGTGGACAGCAACTGGAATTGTACATTATGAGTTTTTGGAAAGAGGTCAAACCATCACTGCTAACTTGTATTGTGAGCAGCTACAACGAGTACAAGCAGCACTCATTCAGATACAGCCTTCTTTGATCAATCGGAAGAAAGTGATATTCTTGCAGGATAATGCCAAGCCTCATACCGCAAAAGTGACCCGAGAAAAAATGTTTGAACTCGGCTGGGAAACGTTACCGCACCCGCTATATTCTCCCGACGTTTCGCCCAGTGATTTTCATCTTTTTTTTATCTCTTGACAACTGTATGAGGCACCGACAGTTCACAACTCGAAATGGTGTAATAAATGCAGTCCGCCAGTTGTTTGATTCCAAATCCAGGGACATCTACAACACCGGCATACAAAAATTGGTTCCACTCTGGCAAAACACCACTGAATGTGATGGTAAAAAGTGTCTTATTGTTTCTCAATAAAAATTCATATTTTTCTAAAAAAAAAACGCACGAACTTATTTGGTTACCTGATTCATGCTAACATTAATTACTCACAATGCGGGCGCGGCTGTGATTTGCCCGTAATTCTCCTCAGTTTTTGAAAACACAAAAAAACGTAAGAAATCGTAACTTATAACTATAAACATAACCTGTCTTCAGAAAGGACAACATTTAAATTCAGTAATGTCGATCTGACACAGCAAATATCACTAATTATATACACATGCAGACCAATATACACAATCATCCAGATGCGATCTTGCTATTCAACCAACTTTCTTTTCGGAGATGAAAACTATAGACTACTCGGCTTCACGAAACATATGAAACCACGAATGCATGTAGTGGTGTAGTTGAGCCATTCCTCCATAGATGCACGCTCACAACGATCCTAGTGGGCAAACGTGGAATGGCTGTTTGCACCCTAAAAACTAGCTAGTCGGCAAGATGGAATTTTATTGTTTTTTTTTTTGACGTTTTATAGGTTTTTTATATAATACCTGTGTGAGACAGACTGGGTTGGCGAAGGTGTTCAATTGATTGCGAAAAAAATGGTAGAGTTATGGCGAGACAACCCATAGTTGCGTCACGTTGATAACGCACCAGCTCACGCAGGCTTGTTAACTAGCCTGTTTTGTGCCAAAAACTAAATGACTCGATTGTCAACATCTCTGCTCACCAAATCTAGCTGCTTGCGATTCTTAACATTTCCTAAACTGGAAACGTGACATCCGAACTATTGCATAATTACTGCACTCTGATTATTCCCAGCTCCTGGTTCCTGGAAATGTGCATGTGTCTATAATTTCTACCTACACCTCGCTCTTTGGCAGAACAACTAATTACATGACTACCTATATGGTTATGTATGGATGGGATTAAACATAGGCGGAGACACAAAAGATTATACCTGGAGGCTGTCATAGATACACTAATCAATCGTTTTGCTTGCAAATAAGTCGTCATGCAATTTATTGTGTTTACGATATCAGACGTGGACGTCAAGCAGACAGACATAACATTTTCAGCTTTTCGAAACAAAAAGAAAAATAATGAAGGATTGCCTCCTATTCTGTTTGGGTTTAGAAAGGGGAGGTCTCCTTTACATGCACCCGACGCTATAGATTTTAATGTCACGAATGCCTTTGATACGGTCCAGTGGCAGAAAATAGTAAGGTCACTCGATCAGCTAGATACCCCAGCAACCTGTTTAACATGATCAAAAACTACTCCGATGAAAGAACGCTGATTGTCGAGGATAACAGAGATGTTATGAATATTACTATGGGAGTTCCACGGGGATCCGTTTTGGGACCACTTCTGCGGAACCTGTTCTACGGTGTTATTATACAGCTTAATACGCTGCAAGGAATCAACTAGATAGAATAGGCTGAGGACCTTGCAATGGTGATAAAGAACAAGATACGGAATAACTAAGATCAGCATATGGACGCAGGAAAATGGCTTGCAGTTGGCTCCTGAAAAAACTGAAGTGATAATAATTTCTAGTAGGCGAAAGTAGACAGTAAATGTTGGGATTGCTAAGATACAAAGTCAGCGTCAGATTAAATCCCTGGACGTGTGGCTGGACAAAGATACAAATATGACTTGGCGACACATAAAGTGTAGAGCGGATAAAGCAAACAATGCTCTTACTGATGGTGGTTCCAGTAGTGAGAAACGACGGATTCTGACTGGGGTTTCAAAATCGGTCATTTTGTGGGTGGCTACAATCTATGAAGATCCATTTGAAAAGAATGAATATAGGCAACTGATGCTCAGGTGTAAGTGGAAGGCGGCACTGCACGTGAGCTGCACCTATAGTACGTTATCACCCGTGGCACTACTGATGGCTGCAATACCGTCAATTGATTTGCTGGCTGAGAAAAGATGAGTCCTCTATAGGAGGAATGGAGCAGAAGCTGAAAACGATTAACTGGTTGCGAAGTTGAGTCATGACTAGCCATGAAGCATGAACTAGGAAACTGATTCCATATAATAAGGTCTGGATCGACAGGGCGGCTGAACAGATAGATTTCTATACTAAACATTACCTCACGGGACCTGAGGCGGATAGGTTTTAATGAGTATGCTGTATTTTGGAGAATGTTACCCTTCAGGCAGGAATAACTGACAGAAGTCATATGCCCAGCTTTTCTGGCCAAGGGTGGATGTAAAGGCTCTCTTCTGTCTAAAAAAAGCATACATATGCAATCATTTCCTCAAGTAAGTTAATGTATGCAGAAAATTTAACCTTTGGGTAACTTTACTCATTCCCGACAGCTCAAGTAAATGTATGACTTGGTATCACATAGACTCAGTGTTGCTTGACGATTTACATGTACAAGCAAAACATACGATTTGCATGTCTTACCCGACAGAAATCCCAATTCCTATGTAAGAATTTTCGCATTCTGAAGTTGCTCAATGCACAAATTCCTGTTTCGTCCCATATTGTTACAGGCTCGGTATACTGTGGTAATTTGGTAGTCTTGGGGGCCTTTCGTTCATCTTGGCATAAAATTGATATCAGATACGGGATTTATACAACATATGTTACCCAAAAGGAAAACTTTTGTT